ATTAAACCATATCAAGCGAGCAAGAGTCCTGCTCAGTACTGTTTATTGAACTTGTAATAAAGGCAGAATCACAAGAAGTTCATACTGAGTAACATATGATTTCTGATAAAAGAAATTTTATCAGAATTTTTTTTTTTAATTTTCCAATTATACTGTCAACAAATTGTTCCAAAAGTAGTCAGTGCATCTAACTTTGCATGTAATCAAACAATACACAGATTCTCTTTCCATGTTAAAGAAATAACTCTGGGGTTTATAAGATGTTTTAAAGTCCTTTAAATGTGTTGTGATGTCCAACAGGAACGTTTACGTTATTGGTATTCATAATTGAGAGCTAGAAAGTACTTATAGTTTGAATGGAAATCCATTAGGACTTTTTGTGCCTAGCGGACGCTAGTTTCTCAATTTGTTTCACTGCGGTTAATACCATTTTTGCATTAATTTTGGCATCGGAAATGACAAAGACTGGCATTTAAAATCACTTTTTTTTTTTTCTTTTTTTTTTTACATTTTGTGATTGAAAATTAACATGAATAAAAAAAAAAAAAAATGCAATCTCTCCCTTTTCCTCCGTAGGCTTCAACAAGAGCTGATGACGCTAATGGTGAGACCTTTTTATACAGCTGGTATTTTGTTTGGCCTTTTTAACTGTAGTTTGTTAACTCAGTGCTTTGTTAAATGCAGATGTCAGGAGACAAGGGCATATCAGCGTTTCCAGAGTCTGACAATCTCTTCAAATGGATTGGCACAATAGATGGAGCTCAAGGAACGGTAAGAACAACTGTTGTTTTCTTCCCTGTGATGTAAGGAAATGGGTTTCTTACGTGCAACATACTAATCTAGATAATTAGAAGATTATACTTAAAACCATCTTTTTTTGTTCCTGATCAGGTTTATGAAGGTTTGAGGTACAAACTTTCACTGGAGTTTCCTAGCGGGTACCCCTACAATGCCCCTCGGGTGAAATTCATCACTGCGTGTTTCCACCCAAATGTTGATGAGAATGGCTTCATCTGCCTAGACATTTTAAAGGACAAGTGGTCCGCACTATATGATGTCCGCTCCATTCTATTGTCCGTTCAGAGTTTATTAGGAGGTAGGTTATGCTTTTGATATGAGTAGTGCTGAGCAAAATTCAGAAACTTGTACAACTTTCGATTCATGAGTTGAAATTTGGCCACAACCTTCAGGATGTTTAATTGAAATTAAACCACAACATGAAACACGTTTTCTGACACTATGATTATCCCCTGATAAATAGAAAACTGTTATTCAGATCTTTATTCATGTAAGGTCATCTACTTTCTCCTGTTATGTAAAGCAGCATGTCTGTTCTGATTCGTTTTCTTAAAGTAATTTACTAGCTGTCTTGTCTGGATCATTGTACTCATAAATTTCTTATTTTAGAACCCAACAATGATAGTCCAATGAACTCTGCGGCTGCTGAACTATGGGATGACCAGGAAGGTAACTGATCATGCCAGAGTCAAGCAGTTGTTTGAAACTGCAGTATTTTTAGAGAATTGTTTCTAGTTCAGTGTTTTGGTAAATTATGCATCTAACGCATTTCTAATCACTTTTGTTGCAGCCTTCAAAGCCCATTTGCACGCAACCTACAAGAACTGACCATGAACATTAACGTCTGCCTCTTGTTTTATCCGTGTCCATTTTCTTGTTCGTAATAATGTACATTTTCTGTAATGGGTCTCTGTGTATATTATTTCCATGTTGTATTAAACTTGCCTGAATAAAATGCTGATTGAATTGAGTTTGTGGAGTAAAGGGAGGGAAAATAAGACCAGAATGTTAAATATTTGCCTTTTTTTTTTCTTTTTTCTTTTTTATCTATAGAATAAAAAGGCATTGTAGTGCACAACTGATCAGGCAAGAATATAGTTTGAAAAATGTTCTGTTTAATTTAAAGGTTTACAGAGTATAATGGTCAACAATTATAACTTGTGTTATTGGGGGGAAAAAAAGTTATTGCAGAATGTATGTCTCGATTTCGAAACTTATATTTAACCCAGTTTCAGAACCTAGCTAAGCAGGCATAGTAGACAGCCTACTTTGCAGTTGTGGTGATTGCAACAACCTGATGTACTATTTTGGGACACCACCTCCACTTCCATGATGTCCTCCAAGCTTTCATCCTCTTCTTGCCCACCATCTTGGGTCGAAACGCCTTCTACCCAGGCTTCTTGTGTGGGTTCAACAGACCACAGTGGAACATTAACTCTTTGAAACATTTCTTCAAGCAGAACATCAATCTCCACTATGTGGTTCTTCAGGTCTGGGCTTGCAGTCTCCTCTACTGATAACCATGGTGTTTGCACCATGGCTGCCCGAGCTGCTACTTCCGAAGTTCCACCCGCATAACCTGCGTTGATGAGGGCTTGTCGATCTTTGCGCTGGGTCAGAGGGAATATCTCTTGCAAGACTTTGACCTTCTTTAGGTCCCGCTGGAAGTTTTCCAAACTGGACAAGATCATCACCCAAAGTCGTTCAACCTGTTCTTTGTCCTCTTGTCCTTGCTCCATTTCTATCAGCAGACTTAGCAGCCTCCGGTGAAGCCCTGAAACACGAGTCGATCAAGTCAACTCTCAACAGTTTGAATGTGGCGTAATTGAATATGGCCAGCCGCTAGTTTTTGCAGTGCAGAAAAATACAGAAAGGGCAATGTAAAATTTCTGCACCACTAGCATCGCCAAACTGTTTCCTGCCTGTCTTCTGTTTCTACTTCAGTCTTACCTGAGCATATTTTATGAGCTACTGTCCTGGTTTCTTCCAGCTCCTCTCTAAGGAAGCTCCCATCCATGTTGCTCCCCAGGGAGGTGGCCATTTGCTGGAAGCAGGCTGTCACTTTGCTCAGGGCGGCCTGTGCCCGCTCGCATTCATTCACCTGCCTCTTTCTGGTTTGGATTTCCACCACCGACTGCCGCCAGCGACTCATTACCACTCATGTGGTGAACGACCTAAACTTAAGAATATTTAAGAGTTATTGTTGGTCTCAATATCAGAATTGGTCTGGCCTATTCTGAACTAAAATATTTGAAATTATATATGGCGTCGATTTGGTCTTAACTAGATGATGTGAAACTTTTAAATCTTGTAGTTTTACTTTTTCTCGATCTAATCCCAATTAAATGAATAGACCATAACCATTTCTTTTGCTTACACACAGAAATTATTTGCCGCCTTCATTAGCCTGGTTAATTATTTTTAAGTTCTCTTTTAAGAACGCTTGCACCACTTTGAAACACTTTATTTTGCCTTATTTCTGATTCAATTTAAAGGCTACACCCATTTGTATGCCTAACATTTTATAAAAGAAAAAAGCCACTTACTGGTAACTGAGCCTCAAAGAAATCCGTCTGATTTCATAGCCTTCGGAAAGTTGCGAGTTGTTTTGACAGTCCTGTTTCTCAGTGTGATTACATCCGTTGGAGACACTTCTGCCAACCTCCTTGTATTTGTACGCTCACCTATGTTCTTTTTTCCAAAGCTTTTATAGAGGCCGGTCTTCAGGGACACTTGTTAAAATTAGGCCCAAACCTTGCAGTCCATGCTCCCAGAATACCTTGCGCTGGAGATCATTATGTCAAAGTTCTTTCTTTCTCAGAAACACATGTAGTGTAGGGAGGACAAGGTTTTCGATCAAGAGATCCATACATAATGAATTTCTATGTGCGGTTGTCTGTATACTGTATATGTGTGCTTGTGGGAGTGTGTGTGTAATAATGTGTGTGCTGTGCACAGTGGTTTATGTGAAGTTAATTGTCCACAGGGAGAGTGGTATGGTATTGTGGAGGAACAGACGGAGATCCTTTATTGACTCCCTTGTGGTTACTTGGGCTTGTTTGAAAGCTGTGTGCCGCTTGATGCAACACGTATGCTCCCATGGGTCAAATCTCCTGAGCAACACCAGTAATATTAACTCGTTCAGTTAGCAAAACAGCAAAGCTGTAATAGGCACTGACATAATTCCGCAGTCATAATTATAATCAACTTCACACACTTAAAATTGTGATGTAGGAGAGTATTCCTTTTATATTAAGATTCGTTAATTGCTTAATTCATTACATTTTAGGATGCCAATTGCAAAGAAAATCCAATGTATCCTTTGGTTGTCCTTTTTCAGAACTATCCACCTTTTTCCTAACAAACCTACTGCATTTTAAATTATGGGAGGTACTTCCAAAGATTGCACTACAAATAATCCTTATCCATTATTTTGACTGAATGGGCTGTAAGTTTTCATTCACTTTCTATTTTCAGAAGAATAAATATAAAAAAACAATAATTGTGGTCTGCTTTCCAAATTTAATTTATGATATACCGTTTAACTATGAATAATTCCCTGGAATGCACTAAGAATCTTTCATTTTTCTCCCCAAATCCTCTTGTCTATTTCCAGGTTTGTTTTCACACAGATGCTGTAAAATGTAATTGTTACGAAATATAGACACATATCACTATAATGATATTTAACACGTCCGTAACATTGCTGCAGATAGGAGGAGAATTTTAGGAGTTATTTATGGTATGTTAAGGAGGGGGCTTTGTAGAAAACGAAGCGTTTGAGAGAGGCGGGGCATAGAGGACTGTACAGTATGTACAGTATTTGAAAAATAATGTGTTTTTTGAACATTAAAGCATGTCAACATATTCTGTTACACCAAATACACAAAATAATGATCTTTAAAAAAGCATCATATGACCCCTTTAATGCTTTTACACTTAAAGTTTTAATTTATTTAATACATTTAAATTTTTACACTTTTAACGATCGATGGTTGAAGGGTGAGTAAAATAATGTCACCTCATTGTACCCAGTTTTTGAAAATGCTTATTGCATTCATAGAGCGAACCTTTTGCTGATTGTTTAGTGTAAACGGAAGTTACTCCCATAATTTGTGCAAAGCATCATGGGACATAGGAAAAAGGTGGGTACTCAAAACAGTGTTCAAGTATGGTAAGTGTACTTCACATTTTAATCTGGAGTTCTGTTAGATATGGAAGAATCTTTATTGAATATCTAACAGGTGGCTTTAAAGTATTTGTTCATTCTCATAGCAATGACAAACACAAATTCACTTATTTTACATATACATTACAGCTTGGCCACTGACATGCCTTACAAAGGCAACTAGGAACTTCAACGAGAACATTGAGACAATGATTGAAATTATACCACAGATATTCAGAAGAGAACAGAAAACGAACCAATTCATCTAGTACTGTTGAACACATCCTGTGGTTTCCATATTAAAGTGTGGAAGGACTTCATTCTCTGTTGCGTGTTATTTATATCACAGCTGTTGAAGACCCATTGGATGAGCTAGACACTATACAAAACCACAGCGATCTGATGCAGTCCAAAATCAATACCTCCAGCTTGCATTGGTAATCAAGCTTCAACTGCTAAAGTCAAGTACAGTTGGCCCTGCATATAATGTGAGGTGAGTTACAAGGAGTTCACTGGTAGATGCTGGTATAATCTGGTGTGACGGAAAAAATGCGGTGTCTGGAATTAGTAGATATGCGTCAATCATTTGGCTTTTGTTCTTTTACAGGACCGACCGTAGGGTGTTATGTGGCGATGGCCTCCATGATCTCGTGGCACAGACATTGGCAGAAGCCGTAGAACACACAAAGGACCAGGGTGGAGGGCACCAGGCTGACCAAGATCACTCCCATCGTGAGCTGCTGGATCATCAGCAAGTAGATCCCCAGTGGCAGCGAGCTAAAGTAGACCAGGCAGAGGAAACCCATTAGAAAGCGAGGGACCGAACGAGACGTCCAAGCCCGACACTTCTGCACGGGAAGGTGGCAAGGCAAGGAGTCCAAGCTGGCCGGCCGATACAAGCGCACCATGTTCAACATGCTCATAGAGTCCGAGGACTGCGACTCTCCAGGGATTTCCATGATTGTGATGACGAGGCAGTCGGAGGAGCTGTGGGCCTGCTCGCCTCCGCTTAGGCTGTTGGGCGTCAAAAGGACCTCACCGCTGGGTGTGGTGCCGCTCTTACGCGCCCGGTCCTGGTAAGTCAGAATAGCCAAAATGTTGCTGTCATCTTGAAGCAACCAGATCTCCTCGTCAGGGACGTGAGTCTCGTGGCGACAGAAGGGACAGCTGATGATGCTCGGTGACGAGTCCAGCTCCACCATCTTCTTTAGACATTTGGCACAGACCCGGTGCAAGCAGCTCAACACCTTGGGCTTGTGGGCTCGGGTGTCAAAGCGATTGTAGCAGATCTTGCACTCCAGTTCCTCCACCGTATAAATCACCGGTGCCTGGGAGCTCTCAGTCTCTGAGTCGGACTTCTGGCTCATCCTGAGAGATGGAGCTTGGCCACAGCCGAGAGGAGCGAAAGAGTCAGGAAGCAGGTGCAAATGTTCAAATTAAGCAAATTTTAGTATGCTATAGGAGCAGCACCTGAGCACTGTCCTTGATAGCCCTTATTTTTCTGCTTTGCGTTTGTTTTTCACCAAAAAGGATTGCTTAAATTCATCTTTTCAAGAGCTTGCAGCATATACTGCTGATTAGAAGTCCACAAAAGCAAACTTGAGTCTTGACGGAAAGCTTAACATTATACATATGTCCATGATAAGACACCCTGATGTATATATGACAAGCAGATTATACTAAAACACAATACAGAAATTCATTGCATGCTAAATGAGGATCTCCATTCACTGTCCGCACTCAATTAAAGAACTTACTTGGGTTTTTCCAGCATGGTTTAGAGAAAGACAAAACCAAAGAAGCAATAAAGAAATAAAGTTAGTTGACATAAGAGAGGTCCAAAAATAAGTTCCTTTGAAATCAGAGTCTGGACACAGAGCGTGTTTTTGCCTTGTTATCCATAACTGATTCTAGAATGATGTGGAAGAAACGCAGATTCGGATAAAGTCAGCAGAATCATCCTGAATACTGCCAGATATTTTCTTCCAGTAATGGCTACACTTGATTATGACCTTCAACTCTGAATGCTCACATTGTCCCTCCAAGCACTTTGTTCATTCTGCAAAAAAATGAGAGAAGACACAGACGTGTTATGTAGATAAGAATGTAATTGTTTGCAAAATGCCAAATGTTAACACTTTGCGGCAGATCTGAAGAACGCAAGAGGGAATAGCTTGATATCTGTACTTACCTTGTGTGAGTAAAACCCTTCTAGTGTCGTTGAGCCAGCACCGCTAAAAACCCTTTGCATTCATCAAGCCCTTCCTATCAGGTGTATAGATGTCAACATAGGGGTGGGTGTGTGTGATAGAAAGCATGCACACCGCCGGCCAAAAACAGTTCTAGTTGTTCCTCCCAATATCAAGGTTAGTGGCTAGTTGTTGACTTTTTTATGTCAAATTCCTAAACTTTTATCCCCAGTATTTGGTTACATCCTTGTATATGGCAAAAATGTATGTTTCATTGACTACTTTGCTAAAATAGTGGCTAAAGGAGATCCTCATTTGCGCTAGCCATAGGCGTGGCAAGCCATTCAAGCGAAGGCCATATAAGTTGATTACAAATGTAATTAGCTCCTGTATTTCTTGATTCCCTGTGGACGTGACTCACTCCTATCTGACAGAGAGGCAAACAAGTGATGCAAGTGGATGTTAAAAAGAGAGCGGCAAACATGCAAATTTAATTCCCATTACGAGACATTTCATTGTTTTTCCTCCTCTCTCTTTCCATGTCTCAAAGCGCAGGTTGTTCGAATTTGAAGCCAGTCTATAAATAGCATGCGTGCGGTGCTAGAGGACACAGCGTCCCCCCCCCCAATCTTGATGACTGTGATAAGAACTGTCACACACTCACACACACTCGTGTCCAACAGTCGAGGATGCAGTGATGCGCTGAAATTATGACTTTGACATTGTATGGCAGCTTGTCTCTAAGGGTTCCTCAGCTCGGTCATGTAAATGGCAGCAGAGTCTGTTGAATAAAAGCCAGTGGGTCAAAACTGACATCCAAGATGAAGCGAGAGGAGCGAAGGTTAAAAGAACACAACCGTCATACAGAATTTATTTGCCATTAAAACTGCAGCGAGTCAATACATGCTAAGGGCGCATCTACATTTAGCTGAGTAATCAATGCAGTTGCAGTAGAATATATTAACTGCATTATACTTGGCTGCAGACATGGTTGCAGTTTTCAGTGGCTTATAAATAAAGATCTTTATTCAGATGAAGAATGTGCTATTTTTAAATGCAATTTGTGTGCTGCTGAAATTCAGGGGCTGGATCTGAATTTATCATCATGTTGGCTTTAAAAACACATTGGCAAGAAAACTGAGCATGTGTAGCCTAGAATGGCAAACATATGCATCTGCCTAAATTAGTTAATACTTCTGGACCATGTCTTACGAAACCTGTCAGAAATATGAAGAAAAAGAAATTCAAGTTTTAAAATAATTTTTAGGACAATTTTGTTTATTTTTATATGTGAGGTGGAGACCTTATAGTAATTAATTACATTTAGAAACCATTAAGAATAATGGGAATTAAAACTAAAATAAAAAAATCCTCAACTCATTTAAGTAATGAGAAATATGGAGAAAATGTGCTTAATTGTCATGAAAATCTCAATACAAAAAAAATCATTATTGGTCTTAAATTAAGTTTAATTGTCTTTATAAAATGTAATTTCTTCATTTTTATTATTATTATTTTTTTTAGGTAAAGTGCACATGTTTGTTGAGATACTCTCGAAAATTCTCAATACTGAGCTCTGTAATGAAAAATCTATTTCTATTTACTTAAATCATTGTCCGTTCAGGATATCTAAAGTGTCCTGTTTCTAAAATAATTGAATTTGAAAAGTGATAATGATGAAAAGTGTCAGTTGGTGTTTGTCATCTTCTTGCTGGGGTGACCTGTAGTGCCAGTAACCGCAGGAGATGATTGCGTCTGTGTGTAGGCTATGTGTTTGTGTGAGAAGCGGAAATAAAGATGCAAGGGGCGTTCACAGGAAAACACCATCTGTGTCCTGGTCCTGTGGGTTACATAAATAATACCAGTTCACCTGCCTGCTCCAATGTTTACGTCAACTTTTGAGGAGCATGCAGGCCTTCTGAAATGCTTCTTATTTTCAGTGTTAGTTTGAACATATAAACCTTTATTTTTTGCTCATTAAATTAATTACACTCTCTAGGATATATAATAACTCCATGTTAAGTTTAAATGGGTTAAAAAAAGGAATACTTATAATAATGCTCTGAATTTAGACCCTAGATGCATGTTAATCATCACTGATCAGTCATTTAAGTCAAACTGGTGGTTCCAGGCTAACAACTTATGTTTACAAACCACAGATGACTGAGTTCAGTTAGATACTCCAATAAAGCCTGTTTTATTAGTTGGAATAAAGCGGATGTGTCATGTTTCTTTTTCTCTTTTTCAGTTCCTAGACAGGAAGCTTTTTTACACTAGTGCCACAAAATGCACATTAGATGTGTAATTGATGCTTGAGAATTACAGGAGTGGATCAGGACTGAAACTAAATTCTGCAGGAAGGTACAGATCTCCTTGTGAAGGACCATTTAAAACTGACAGAACGAGGAAAATCATAAAATCACACAAAAAAAGCAATATTCTCTACCACTAGCAGAATTACAATCCAAACAGCATTTACAACTTATTGTATTTCTGTAATGTGATGTATTTCCAAGTATAACTCATATTCAGTTAGTTACAAATTGACTTTTATCCATTTTATCCACCAGAAACCCTTCTGAAATGCCACCGGCACACATTTGAGTAGGCTTTTGACTGGGATGTGGAAGCTAAAGATCAAGTTCATCCTCAAGAGCGTCTCTTCATAGATCACTGGTAACAATTCTTCATATTTATTGTTAGTTGCTATTGTTTCAGTAAATAGCTATAAATTACTGTTAACTACTGGCAAGATTCTAGAAAGGCTACATTACGTACAACAATAATGGCAGTAGTTATCTGGCCGTGTAGCCTGGTGATGTCAGCCAAAAAGTTGTTTCATATGACTGACAACGAAGCATTTTTTATATTGTGAACTTCAAAATAACATCTGGGATGTGTATTAAGAAAGTAATATTGGCACCTAGTTCAACATCTTGAAAGGAATGTGGTGTATTATCAGTAAGCGATGCACCTACAATTGATTTCTGTGCAAAACTAATGAGACCGAATGCACAATACAGGTAAATAAATCTCCTATCAATTCATTTTGACCAGTAATTTAATTTCTGCCAGAACTGACAGTAACTCATCGCACCCAGCGGAGCCGTTCTGGACATCAGCACTAAATGTACCTTTGTCTTGACAACTGAACGAAAGGATATCAGACTCTCCAGCAAAACAAGGAAAGTGATGAAGATAAACTGCTATAGAAGCATTACATACATTTTCAGACCAGTTCAATATGTTAAAAAAGCTTTTAAAAACAGTAACAAAGAGTTGCTGTTAAATATAGTGTGCAATCAGAGTCAAATCTACAAATTTATCCATTTGGTTTTTCATTATAGATACAAATAACTGGTCTCTTTTAAAACCAGTTTCATTTTGGAGCAGAGCCTTATTTTCTGTCACTTCTGGCCATGCAGTAAAAAAAGTGCTTGTTTTTTGTAGTTGTTGTTCCTGATTTAGTGTGACAGCTCAGTGAAGATTTCACATGCGAGTTAGCCATTCTATTCATTGAACCGCAGGTATGAAGCAGACCAACCCACACAGGTAACCAGTGGCCTAGTTTACAGTGACCCTGTCTGAGTCCTGGAAGAAGGGGTACAGCTATATGTGGGCCCAGATTTGGAAGAGAGATATTTTGTAATGTCACTAAAAGTCCTAAATGATCAACCCATCCTCAAGTGACCGCTAGGTTTTGCCAAGACATGCCATTTTGCAATCGGGAACATTGCCAAGGCTGAACACTGTCGCCATAAATATGTATAATCGGGGTTGAGGTGCAAAGCACTTCTTAGAATCTGTCCATCTCGCATGTTTTTCATGAAAGCTAGAATTGGACCCTTCTGTGCAATTCTGATGCTTTTAAACATACATTAATAGTTTTAATAATATGTTTGTTTCTTGCATCTAGCACTGACTCTTTAAAGTGGCGGACTCTATTAATGATGGCGTTCAAGAGGCTTTTTAGTGAGGTAAATACAATTCATCCTCCACATAAGACATTATATAACATGCTAAGTCTCTCTCACTCTCAGTTCTCTCAAGGACTGTATTCACAGTTCATTAGTGAGGAGTCTGACACTGCTAGATATCATGTGCTCAATACAATAACTCTTCAAATCATTCAAACAGCTCTTGACAACTGATTTGTGCATACTGTAATAACAGAAATAGGCTTATATTTATTTTATTTATTAAGCATTTTTAGGTGCAGGCTCATTCTCAGAAAGAGTTTGACTAATTTTCACATCCATCAGTTAAAATGTTGAGCGTTATGAGAGATATGTGCAATGCTTTAGTCATGGAGCCAGTTGGCAAACGATAAATGACAGGAAGACCTATGCAAATTAATTACCTTTAATTACATGAGCCGTTTATAAAACCATTATAGATAAGGTTCATATTAGGCTACTAATCGAACTAATACAATTTCAACAATCAACAGTCTCAGCAATCACTATTTTGCTCATTTAGCTACAAAAACATTCACAAGCTGCTATTTTAATGTCCATCGCTGGTTTAGATCCAACAGGTATGTTTTACATTAATCGATTCGGGTGGATTTTATTAGAGCAACAGAAGAACAACAAATGTACTGATATTATACAACGATTCTAGTTTTTGCATTAAACAAACACAAGTTGTGGCTAATCGCATAAATAACGATATCTGTCGCGGCGAGAATTACGATGTTTGTTATTTGACGATTTTACGTCGCGCCGTCGCTTTTCTAGCTCATAAGCCGTTTTAGTATTTAAATGACAGCTCGGATAAATCTGATTAATTATTAAAACTAATTTTCCTCACATGTTTGCTTTTGGAAAAAGTCGCGTTCCGCGACGTCGTGGCTAACGTATATGTCCATCGAATGCGTTGCGCTGAAGCGTTGTTTATGCGTTGAAAATTCGTATAAACATTTGATTAATCATTTAATGACAAGACTCGAGGTTTATATCATAAGCTGTAAACGTTTATAATCCGCAGTTATCGCCAATGACACTCACCCTCAGGTCTTGATTGCGGCTCGAAAACAGTCATTTCCAGCCTCGTCCTTCCAGTCCAACATAACAATCGTCTATTACCGCCACATTTTCCTTTTCTCGTCGCTTTGTGGTGAGTCACAGTCAATCTTGAGGTCCCATCTGTCCGACCACAACTGCTACATCCCCCTCATTGCGTTAATGCTACAGCATCAGAAGCTGCACGGATTTCTCCTCAGTGGTTGCTGTGGCAACAGGAGCCAGCGCGAGCTCCGACCGCTGTCCACCGAACTAACGCGTTTGACTTCTCTTACCGGACGCACGTGAGCACTGTAGTGCGAAGACGGTGATGATAGACAGGCTCCTTTGACGTTGATTCGGTTGTTTTTCAGACACGCAAGGATAATTTTGACATTGATTTCCCCCCAGAAAAACGTAATCTCATCAAGCGCATATTAAATCTACTGTGCATATTAATTGATTAGTATTTTTTCTCGTTTTATACAAGGTCATAATGAATAACAGTGTATTTTCAGAAATAAATTTGTTTTTATTATTGTCTAGGATGCTCTTTTGTCAGTGGTGTTATACTTGGGAACCAGTAACACCCCTGACAGTAACACTGTGAAATTGCCTTATTAAATCAGTTAACATGGCGGATGACACAGCAAAAACAACTAGATTAACAACCTGTCATAAAAGCATATTGGTAGACAGCACTGACAACGACCCTCGAAGCATGCAGCTGTGAAATAAAAAGGAGAAAGATGGTGGCATGTATGTGATGCAAGAAAATAATACAGAAAAAGTAATATTGTTACGACCTGTAAATGCTGTGGGTGCAAGGGGGTGCAACATTAAAAAAAGGAAATAAAATAAATTAATGTAAACTAAATATAAAGATCTAAAGTAAAAGGAAACCACAGTTAAAATGCATTAAATTTATTTATTTATTTTACAGTGGTTCAGTATATTCTTTATACAAATGTCTTGTCGAATTGCACATGACTAATAATTATAGATTATTTAATAGGTTAATTTGTAATTGAAACAAAGATTTTTGGAGGTTAGAAGAACATACTATTTATTTGGCGTTTATTTGTAATTATTGAAATATATATATATATCCTTCCTGCAGTGTAGTGGGATGTGTTTTCGATTCAGTGTAGTCTGTCACACTGCTGTCACTGCTTGAAATGTCATGTCAAGTACTCATTTTGATTAAAGAGACGCTTTCAAAGGTCAGTCCAGAAGATGGCGCCATTGTTGTTGCTAAGGAACACCGACCCTTATAAGGTGACATGAGGATGGACAGGTGTAAACGGCAGGAATCACTGTCATTCTAAAAATATCCGCGGCGCCTTTAAGAGTCTGAAAGATAACATAATAGATTCCCATTGCAGACTGTATTTACAACTTAAACCATAAAGGCCTAAAACGATACGGTAAACAAGCAGCACAATGAAAGCATAAACCTCAAGTCAAAATATGTTTTGCTTAACTAATATATTTGATACGCATTACAATATATGTCTATGTTATTTAGATGTGAATATACGACGTTTTAGCGCTTTTTGTTGTTGTTTTTTTTGTCTGAGGTTGACTGAGGTCGTGAGATGTCAGACTGGGTGTTTGTGACTTATTACGAGTAGAGCTCCACGTGTTAAAAATAACCGATTTTACACGAATCTCACTTATTTGCGGGTTCTGCAGCACTGAGAACCATTTTCTGTAACTTTCTCACAAAACAATCGTATACACGTTTGTTGTAGGCCTATTCTTAGTTTCACACGCAGAGGTTTGAGTTTCTTTTCAAACAGGAAGCTGCGCAGCATCTCTCGCGCTCTCACACGCAATCGAATCATCAGTAGAGCGCAACTGACTGACACTTCGTTCCGTTGCCTTAGAAACTAAACTAACTATCGATAACCGTTTTTAATTTCTCAGAAAACTATTCCGGGATCGATTAGTTTCAACTTTTTCGTTTCTTTTTGACTTTTTAAATCACCTTTACTGAGGGAACGTTGTCTTGAAAACTTGTCCAATGAGTAATTTATACGAAAACATCGACGGTCAAGAAGAACTGGACTTTCCATTACTTTTCCTGTACAACCAACCTGACTTACCTCCAGATGACCAAGGTTAGTGGCTATCACTAATTATTAATCATAATTTTAGAACTTTTGACATGCTTTCCTCCCATAACAAGTGTTTTTTTCTATCCTCTATAATTGACCATGTTTTTAATTGCATACAAAACAAATAACTGTCAAAGTCTTAATCGTTTTCCTTACAAAAAGAGAAGTATGATACAGTAATGATACTTTATAATACTATGGTACTGCATTATTACTATGTACTATGGTATGTGCGTGCTATTCCAAGATAATTCAAAGAATTAAATTCTATTACTATTTTATTTGAATTGTATTACCATTATTGCTACTATTTTGCTTTGGAGAGTTGGAGTAGATATAGGTTGCTAGGGTTTAAAAGTGGGTTACACACATTGTGTGAAACCAAAGATGTAGTGGAAACTTTCACTGCAGCTAACCGTTTAGTTCTCTAGTATTGGAGCCTACTTATTTACAGGAAACATTCAGATTTTTTTTTATAAACATCCAGTTTGATTATAATAGTAATATACACAGCTGATGAGATGGTTGTTAATGTGTTTTCCCATTTGTTTTTAAGTTGATGACGCTGGCATCCCCTCCAGCCATGGTACCAATCAAACTTCTCTGTACGATGAGGAGTCTGCGTGCCAGCTTTCCCACCATCTCCCTACCGATGACCTTCTCACCTATGGGCAATCTGATTATAGACACCCCTCCATGCTTGCCAGCCACCCTGGAGCGCTCCAAGGCAACGGCCCGAGAATTGAGATCACCTGCCCTGACCTGTACCAGCATGACCATGTCCACACCAACCCTGTGAACATAAGTCAGCCCATGCTTGACATCCCTTACAGGGAGAGCCAATGCCTCAGTCCGGCTAGTAGCACATCGTCTACTAGCTGGCATTCAGATGGCTATTCTCCTGGAACATACTCCCCCTGCATCTCTCCCGGTGTTGGTGAAGGAACGCTAGCCGGATTGACCGAAGCCGTCCTTTGCCCGATGATGCAGGCCATCCAAGCTTCTGGTTCTCCCAATACGTCCCCTCGCACCAGCATCACAGAAGACACCGTCCTGGACCGCCGTCCCACCTCTCCACGTTCTCGCTCGGCTTCTCCGCAGGGGAAGCGCACTTATGCCGAATACGAGACACAGAGATCTCAAAGCCCCCGTTTTGGCCGGGACGAGCCCGCCGAGTTCTATCCACTGGCAAACTTGGAGGATTCCATGAACAGCCTCAGCCACAGCTTGACTAAACCAATCCCTACTAAGATTGTCCGACCTAATCTAGAGTATTCTGTCTACACGGAAAGCCATGTGGGCATGTTCCCACCTATGCCGGAAGTGAAAAAAGAATTCACTGTGGAACCGTGCTATTTCATGCCTGCCAACTGGTCCAGTCAGGCTCTCACAGGGGTTTGTAGGTATGATATAATCGATCAATTAGTCAGTCCAGTGACAAAGCAACAGTCTTACATTTGTTCATTTAACAGCCTTTATCCACTTACACTTGTAAAAATAAAGGTCCTTTATTGGCACCAATAGTTCCATGAAGAACCTTTAATATACCTGTAAACATTCCATTGCACAAAAGGTTTGTTATAGTAGAAAAGGTTTCTTTAGATTATTTAGCTGTTCTTTATACTAAGAAAAAAAATGGTTCTTTTAACCCCCATTTTGGAACCTTTAGTTTTAAATGTGTACAAATGAGAAACTAATTATAACCGGCACCGTAATACATTTATTTCTCCTGGCAGTGATGAGATTCAGTTTTTCCCCTGCCAAAAGGTCTCAAGTTTACATGTGTCTCTTCTAGAATCTCAAAAATGTCTCAAATTGTAGTACCAAGATATCAAAACAAGTCAACAATCTCTATGAACTTAAACATTTCCTATCAAATTCTCCCAATATTAATTGATCTAAGCTGCCATTTGTATAGCTTTGTACTCAGCTAGTTTCTCAACATGTCTACCTTTATTTCATCTAATATAGTTTAGGAGAAACATCTGAGATAAAAATTGATGTGTATATAAAGTCTCCAGAGCTATGAAAGAGCAAGCTTTGCGCAATAAAAATGCCAGATTATCATTATGCATCACATTAAAATGTTTGCACATCTAGTTGTGGCCCCTATGCATTTTTATTCCCAGAAGCTACTTATTATTAAGTGATCTGTGATGTTTATTGTGACTAAACAGTATCTCATGTCTTAGTATGCCAGTGGCTGCCTTGCCTGCGCCTGAATGGCCTCTTCCCAGCAGCACTGAGCAGTATGAGCTCAGGATAGAGGTTCAACCCAGACAACACCACCGGGCCCACTACGAGACAGAGGGCAGCCGAGGGGCCATCAAAGCATCTACTGGAGGCCATCCTGTCGTTCAGGTAAATCGAGGACAACGCTGTGTATTTAGAAGAAAAGTCAAAGCCGTGGGAGGGCGGAAAGGTTGGTTTTGTTTGGTTTTGTAAGGATGCGTGGGGAGCGAATATAACAATTCTCGAGAATCGCTGCGTGTGAAAATGTGCGAGAACGTTTGTGAGAGCGATTGAAAGTGTGTCGGCGAAACTGAGACGGCTGTCAGTGAAGAGCTTGATAACAGATACAAGGGGGAAACAGAGAGAGAGAGAGAGATAATGCAATGATTGTGGTGACGTTATTTCCCTGTTACGGCGCAAAGTGCTGTGTCCACATTTAGGAAAATGAGGATCTGTGTTTTTGTCGTTGCTATCGCTGAGACAATATGTCATATCATCTACACTGACTAAACCTTTCACTCAGCTATATGCATATCTCACACAGAGTATCAGCATCGTATCTGTTGGAAATGAAGATTAATGACTTCATACAAGCAAAAAATTTGCATTGTGACAAATACAGGCACTTTTTGTAATGCAACCACAATCACATTTTTATTTATAGTTTATCTTCAAATGCTTTCAAATGCTTTCATCCTTTGATTGTTGGCATACTGTGAAGCATGTGCAGATATAAACTGTGGTTTATGAACTGTCTCAGTTGCGAGGGTACACCGGGTCTGAGCCGCTGGCTCTACAGGTCTTCATCGGCACGGCTGACGACAGGAACCTCAGACCTCACGCCTTCTACCAGGTCCACCGCATCACCGGCAAGACCGTCTCTACCAACAGTCAGGAACGAATGCTGAACGGAACCAAGGTCCTAGAGGTGCCACTGGAACCCAAGGAGAACATGAGAGCTGTGTAAGAAGATAATGATATCACATAAAGACGACTGGGGCAAGTTGTCACGCGGGGGAAGTTGTCTCAAGTGCTGAATGTCAATAGCTATGAGGTTTTGAGTCAAATATACAATTGCACAAATCCATCAGTGGTTTTAAATGCCTAGTTCTATACTCGTGTAAATTTGTATAATTTGTGTGATTTTATCTTCCAAACTAATTTATTATTTATCATTTCTTTTTGGCAAAAACAGTAGCTTTTACATTTATTTTATATTATATAATTGTTTAAATGTAGATGAAGCCATTAAATAGCTTATAACATGCATTTATTATGGCAGGTTTTCTTTGTGGCAACTTACCCCATATAGTGTAAAAACATTACCTGCTATTGGATAGCATCATTCTTGGTCAGTAATGGTGAAAATATTCAACAGCGGTTTTGTAGACTTTAGTGTATGTGCCTGAAACTGACTTCCATTAATAAACCTGGAGAAGTATTCTGTAAAAAAAAAAAAAGTGACAAATAGCCCAAATTGTATCTTATTTAAATAGGTAGTCGATAGTTTCCGTTCTTCGAATATAAAAAGAAGCCCAGAATTGATAAAAACAGGAACAGGAAGTGATAATAAGAACCAATGATTTGCCTGATAATTGTTCGTTCACATTTTAGAGTTGACTGCGCTGGTATCCTGAAACTGAGAAATGCCGACATTGAGCTGAAGAAAGGAGAGACAGATGTGGGACGGAAAAACACACGAGTGAGATTGGTCTTCCGTGTCCACGTTCCTCAACCCAGCGGCCAGTGGATCTCTCTCCAAGTGGCTTCGCAGACTATTGAATGCTGTATGCATTAAAACTTTTCATTTAAGACTCACTATTTTAACCATACATTTTAATGCATGTTTTTTGCATTTATAAAATCTATTTTTTTGTACAGAATTGACAAGTGGCCAACCCATTATAATTTATATTATTATAATTTTATAAAAGATATATATATATAAATGACATTTTGTAAATTTATATTTTACATTTGTTTTCATATTTAATATTATATATTTAATATTTACTCAAAAATCTGTAGGTTTTGTAGCTGGCTCCATGCAGAATGTGCACTTGTTATTTGGCCAATCATGATGCTGATGATATCAGAATGGTCAAATATCATATTTGCAATATTAAATGCATGAATGCCACGGGTTTTGTTACAGCTCAAAGGTCTGCTCACGAGCAGCCAGTGGTAGATCACCATGACTTGGACCACTGTTTGGTTCTGGGTGGACCGCAGATGATCCTTAGGGGCCAAAACTTCACATCAGAGTCCAAAGTCATCTTCTTTGAGAAAACGCATGGTGAGTAAAACTCTGCAGCGAGAGGCTTGGTCACACTTGTTTTGATTATAAGTGTAATGGTAAACCAATGTGTATTTCAGTAGCTAATGTGGGTGTCTAGAGAGCAAAGAGGTCGTCAGTGGCTCCAAAAATTATTCGGACACACTTAAAAATGTCTGAATGCCATTGCGTCAAACTAAAATAAAAGACAGTCAAAATGTTATTGCATCAGATTACAAAATTTAAAATCAACTATTGCAAAGTATCCAAATCCTTTTTGGAGTCACTCTGTATCTCTGATGTGACTCACTACTAGGCTGAAAGACACACAACCTTCAATGTTAGGTCTACAGTTTCAGTGAAAACTAATCGGTTAAGGTGTAAATTAAGTTAGAGAGATGTTAATCTCACTTTACATGGGTGAATAACTCTCAAAAAAGCTGCCAAAAGGTGAAAGAAGATCTTCAGCTTCTGATTTTATGCTGCAGCATGTTAACAGCTCCAACCATCGACATATAACTCTTTCAATATTTGACTTCTCCAGGCACTATCAGCCATCTGTGGAGAAAATTGGCATATGATTTGTTTAAAGTTGTATTGATATGCTTTGCATATGCTGGAAAATGGTGGTCCAGGCTGGAGCCATGAGGCTCTGGGTTGCATGGTAGACTGCAGTATGATTTGGCCAACCTTTGCAACAACACAAGAGTGGAAAAAAAGATAAAGCTTGCATAAACACACACACACACACATCTACATAGCCGCCAGTTTGTCTGTCAGTGTTTAAAGATGTCAGAAACCTCAGAACTAACACCTACGCACTAGTCGTTTCTTGAAGATGGTTAAGGACTCAGCTGCTGGGATTGAGTTGGGCAGGTCGTTCCACCAGGAGGGAACAGTTAATGTAAAAGTCCGTGAAAGTGATTTTGTGCCTCTTTGAGATGGCACAATAATACGCCGTTCACTTGCAGAATGCAAGCTTCTTGAGGGCACATAACATATATACTATACATAACGTTAAGACATTATTTCTGTTCCAAACACCTATGTTTATTGGTAGTTGATATTAAATACTTTTAGAGAGTTGTCATATCTAATTGCATGTTGAAATGCTAAACTCTAAATCTAAAACTACTCTTAATAATTTACTCATTTTATAATTATTATGCATGCACCTTTAATAATGTCATTATTTAAGAGTCTACATAAAGGCAGTAAGATACTTTACTGATTTAAAATCAATGTTTGCTTTACAGCACACAGCATAGGTACATAAACATTCAAATACTTATGGAAGTAGATGCATGAAAATGAAATAGACAGTTAAAAATTAAATGAAATTAAACTGACAGATGCAAAACCAATCAAGGAGAAATTTTTATTTAATTTTCTCCTTAATTGGTTTCATTAATTGGTTTTATTTAATTAATTAATTTTATTTATTCGTGGAAGAACCGAAAATCGTCCAAAACGTCAAGAATATTTTGAATGGCAGCGTCCAGCAGCGGTTGAGTGAAATCTCAGTGTCACTGAACTTGAGGACAATAGCATATCAGCCGTGACTCACACTGACATCCTATAGAGACAGCCTACACTTTCTGACACAAGCAAAGTTTTAGCTGCACTTTCCATTTAGGTGTGCAGTGCGGTGCGAGAGGATGTGGTTATGCTCTGCACAGATAGCATCTACAAGCACAGAGACTCTTTTCTTTCCTGTACTCAACGTGAGGGTTGCAGAGCAGCAGTAACACAGCAGGAAAGTGGGAGTTTCATCCACTATGCATGAAACTTTCTCTCTGTTGCTCATGTAGAAGTCACAGACCAGATATTTGTTGTGGCTTCCAACATTAAATAGTGAGAATGCACATGGGCGTGTGTTTGTGAGCGGATGTAAATTTAATTATAAGTTTAAAAAAAGTACACTACCCTTCAAAAGATTGGGGTCAGTAGGATTTTGTTTGTTTGTTTTTGATAGAAGTCTCTCACTAAGGCTGAATTTTGATCAAAATACAGCAATATTGTGAAATAGTATTGCAATTTAAAATAACAGTTTTCTATTTGAATGTATTGTAAAATGTAATTTATTCCTGTGATCAAAGCTGAATTTTCAGCATCATTACTCCAGTCTTCAGTGTTACATGATCTTTCAGAAATCATTCTAAAATGCTGATTATAATATGCTGTTATTCATAAAGAATATACTATATCATGTTAGGTTTGAAAAATGATTTATAGTTTTTTTTTCAGCATTCAAATTACTGTTTCATTGTTTTAGTTGACTTACAGTTATGGGAGGCTGAGGCGAAAGTTTACAGAGACAAATGCACATCTGTAAGTACTTCAGACTATTTGGAGAGCAAAGTAATACATAGCCTTGAATAAAGCTGTTAAATGTAAGTTGTGTTTCCTATCAGAACCTGCTGTTTTTGGAAATCCCTCCATATCGAGACCCCAACATCTACCACCCAGTCAAAGTCAAATTTCACGTACTGAATGGGAAGAAGAGATGCAGCCAGCCTCAAAACTTCACCTACACGCCCCTCTCAGGTGAAACCTTCAGTCTCTTTAGAAACAAATACACTTGCGTTTTTCTTTTAAAATGATCTAAATTTTTTTTTAAAGATCATTATTTGGTGTAACAGAATATGTTGACATGCTTTAATGTTCAAAAAACACATTATTTTTCAAATACTGTACTGTACATTATTGTAAGTCCTCTATGCCCGCCTCTCTCAAACGCTTCGTTTTCTACAAAGTCCCGCCTTCCGACAAGCGCAAAATGCTGATTATAATATGCTGTTATTCATAAAGAATATACTATATCATGTTAGGTTTGAAAAATGATTTATAGTTTTTTTTTCAGCATTCAAATTACTGTTTCATTGTTTTAGTTGACTTACAGTTATGGGAGGCTGAGGCGAAAGTTTACAGAGACAAATGCACATCTGTAAGTACTTCAGACTATTTGGAGAGCAAAGTAATACATAGCCTTGAATAAAGCTGTTAAATGTAAGTTGTGTTTCCTATCAGAACCTGCTGTTTTTGGAAATCCCTCCATATCGAGACCCCAACATCTACCACCCAGTCAAAGTCAAATTTCACGTACTGAATGGGAAGAAGAGATGCAGCCAGCCTCAAAACTTCACCTACACGCCCCTCTCAGGTGAAACCTTCAGTCTCTTTAGAAACAAATACACTTGCGTTTTTCTTTTAAAATTACCTAAATTTTTCAGATTTACAACACCATAGAAAGTTTTGAACCGTGTTTATTTATTTTTTGTTACAGACCTACTTATCTCTTTAGTAATTGACAAATGACACCAAGATTTAGTTTACAAATTTAAATGAGTTTACTAAGGGCAAATGTATATTTTTTAGGCACTATAACGGCTTCTTTTAAAGGGGTCATATGATGCTTTAGCATCATATGACCCCTTTAAGAACTACTTCACTTTATGAGCAAATACCCTCGTCATTTGTTTTAAACTGATCCAAATGTTTTGATTCCAAATGTTTCCTCTCTAGTGCCACAGATTAAAGCAGAGCCGGTTGAAGAATACCAATACGCACAGTTAGGCTGTATTGGGCGTCCTATTATGGGCATCTCTCCTCCCTCTTACCATCTTGCAGACGGTTGCATGATGCCGGGTGGCCCGTCATACCAGCGAGCTCACTGCATGTACCCTGCTGCCCCACAACACACACCCATGCGCTACCCGCTGGATCACACGGTGCCAGGACTTTTCACCAGCTCCACGGCTCACGCAGCAGGTCACGCAACCTCTGTGTCTACATTTGTGCCCAACACCTTCCAGCACACTGTAGCGGGAGACAGCTTCCAAACGGCCGCCTCTATGTTTCCCACCCTCGATGTCTCAGAGCTCTGCTCCGCCGCGGCCCATCAGAAGGCGTATGGCTCGAGGGCGTCCCCAACCACAGGGAGATCCCCTCCGGCCCGTATCCATCAGCAGACATACCTGCCATTGCAGCACCAGAGAAACGTCAGTCCTGTGAGAGTCACCATCAAGCAGGAGAACCTGGATCAGGCCTATCTGGATGATGGTTTGTGCTCTTATCATTCAGTATATATACTGTTCTGCTTAATAGGGCTGCACGATAAATCGCATGCGATATTTAATGCGCATCTTGTCAGTAAAGCCAGTTCTGTAATCAGCAGTAAATCTCCATCACGTGCGAGTTTCAACATGGAGCAGCATTTACTACACAGAGCCGTTGTTCACTGACAAGCTGCGCAAAACCACGATCATATTTTGCGCATGTTTTGCGCAGCTTGTCAGTGAACAACGGCTCTGTGTAGTAAATGCTGCTCAATGTGAAAGCCTGCACATGATGGAGATTTACTGCTGATTACAGAACTGGCTTTACTGACAAGATGCGCATTAAATATCGCATGCGATTTATCGTGCAGCCCTAGTGCTTAACAGTGCTGAGTAGTAACTGATTACATGTAATCTAGATTAATCAGATTCCAAAAACATGCTTCGTGCGTGGCGGCCTCACACAGCGCCACCTCTGTGTCTACATTTGTGCCAAACACCTACCAGCACACCATAGCAGGTAACAGCATCCAAACGACCGCCTCTCTGTTTCCCACCCTCGATGTCTCAGAGCTCTGCTCCGCTGCGGCCCATCAGAAGGCGTATGGCTCGAGGGCGTCCCCAACCACAGGGAGATCCCCTCCGGCCCGTATCCATCAGCAGACATACCTGCCATTGCAGCACCAGAGAAACGTCAGTCCTGTGAGAGTCACCATCAAGCAGGAGAACCTGGATCAGGCCTATCTGGATGATGGTTTGTGCTCTTATCATTCAGTATATATACTGTTCTGCTTAATAGGGCTGCACGATAAATCGCATGCGATATTTAATGCGCATCTTGTCAGTAAAGCCAGTTCTGTAATCAGCAGTAAATCTCCATCACGTGCGAGTTTCAACATGGAGCAGCATTTACTACATAACTGATTACATGTAATCTGGATTAATCAGATTCCAAAAATTAGGTACTCGTAGATTATATTTTTAAAATATAATTTTTATTTTTAGATAAATTTATATTAGATTATATTACATTTTAAAATGCTCATAATCAGATCTGAGTTACATTTTTATGGATTACATCGTAGGGGTGGGCGGTATGACCAAAATCTTATATCACAATATGAGTAATTTTATTTCACGGTAACGATAAATATCACGGTATAGTTATTTTGGCTTTAAATAAGGTCATTATGATAGCAACATTTTTGATACCATAGAAATTTCATAATTCTTGTCACCAGTGTCACAAAAAAACGAATACTAGCCTAAATAAAAAAACAAAACTCGCGCTCACTGAAGACAAGTAAACAGTCAGCGATTAAAAAAGAATACAAAACTAATTATAACCAATAGGACAAAAAAAAAACTACAGTAGAGAAAATTATTAAGAAATGCTACATACATTATATATTCTTCACTGTGTAAGTTAACTATATATTTCTTCTTATCAAAGTTACAAAAGTTATTTAGTCAAGAGCAGTGAGGGATTTTCTCTCTTTTGTTATTTGATTAATATGAATGACAGACAGCAGGAATATTAGACTGCTGTCACTTTAAGAGCTGCCCGGCTCCAATATAATGTTACACACGTGTTCAAGCTGCGCAAAACCACGATCATATTTTGCGCATGTTTTGCGCAGCTTGTCAGTGAACAACGGCTCTGTGTAGTAAATGCTGCTCAATGTGAAAGCCTGCACATGATGGAGATTTACTGCTGATTACAGAACTGGCTTTACTGACAAGATGCGCATTAAATATCGCATGCGATTTATCGTGCAGCCCTAGTGCTTAACAGTGCTGAGTAGTAACTGATTACATGTAATCTGGATTAATCAGATTCCAAAAATTAGGTACTCGTAGATTATATTTTTAAAATATAATTTTTATTTTTAGATAAATTTATATTAGATTATATTACATTTTAAAATGCTCATAATCAGATCTGAGTTACATTTTTATGGATTACATCGTAGGGGTGGGCGGTATGACCAAAATCTTATATCACAATATGAGTAATTTTATTTCACGGTAACGATAAATATCACGGTATAGTTATTTTGGCTTTAAATAAGGTCATTATGATAGCAACATTTTTGATACCATAGAAATTTCATAATTCTTGTCACCAGTGTCACAAAAAAACGAATACTAGCCTAAATAAAAAAACAAAACTCGCGCTCACTGAAGACAAGTAAACAGTCAGCGATTAAAAAAGAATACAAAACTAATTATAACCAATAGGACAAAAAAAAAACTACAGTAGAGAAAATTATTAAGAAATGCTACATACATTATATATTCTTCACTGTGTAAGTTAACTATATATTTCTTCTTATCAAAGTTACAAAAGTTATTTAGTCAAGAGCAGTGAGGGATTTTCTCTCTTTTGTTATTTGATTAATATGAATGACAGACAGCAGGAATATTAGACTGCTGTCACTTTAAGAGCTGCCCGGCTCCAATATACTGTTACACACGTGTTTTCTTTCTCAGCTGTTTGCTTTTACTTAAGACCTAACTTACTGTGTTAACGAGGATATTTGCAAAGATTTGCGCATGTTCTCTTATGCTGCTGACTGCGCTTCAACGGCTTAAAATCACTTGTTTTAAACTGCAATGCTTAAAAATGTGTGCAAACGACAGGTTTTAACGTTAAGTTGTAACCGCGATAGAGATGATAGTCCAAAATCTCTACCAGTTGACAAATTTCTACCAGTTAATCATGTCTACCAGTATATTGCCCACCCTTAATTACATGTAATACATGTAATAGATAATTCATGTAAATAAATTTGTGATCCATGCTTCTGAATTTGAGGGAAAAAAGCGCCTCTCAAGCAATAAGACCGTATTTGAAACAAATAATTGTACAAATTACTAAACACTGTGTGAAACATGCTGTGAAACACTGTCTTCATCATATCCAGTGACTTCACAAATTGTTAATATTGGAGTTCTGGACAAAAATATTTAAACCTTTTTTTCAGCCAAACTCCTTTGACATAAAATATTTAGTTATCCCCGACAATAGATAAAGTTAGGTAAAAAGTAATCTAAAAAGTAGTCAGAATACATTACCTAAAGTGAGCATCCTAGATTACATTACTAACTACAATTTTCATCATGTAATCCGTAATCAGTCACGGATCACAATTTTTAACCTAGCACTGGTGCTTAATTCAAATAGTTGGTTTTCTGAAGTAAAAGTTCATTTTCTATATATGGAAATTAATTGTTTACGATAACTAACGATAACATAAACCATTAAATGCAGACGTACTGTGAGCTACAAGGTTGTTAAACAATGGTATATGCTTTTGTTGAAGCATCAGTCTGCACTGTTTAAACATATTTGTTTTTTAAATGATCAAGTATAAAAGTGTCAATCCTGGTGAATATCTACAACACATGAGTTTTGAACAGTTTTTAGTTTTAGGTGCTTTTTTTTTTTAAGTTATAGTTTAGTTTTTTTTTTACATCAAGATTTTAGTTTATATGATTTTTAGTTTATACATTTATATGAGTGTATATGGGGAAAAGGTATATTTTTAGACACTATAATTTTAAGAACCACATTTAATTATTAGTTTTGATTTTCATTGAATTATTAGATATTTATCAGTTAATATGAAACTAAATTATAACATGATTAGTTGTTGTTTCAGATGATTTGAGATGTGTGTGTTGTGTGTTTAATGTATGCAGCTCTTATCAGGCGGCTCTATATGGGTCAGTGCTTCAGTTCTGCCAGAGCCTGTTAAATATTGAACTCTAACTGACCTAAAACACACACAGGGACAAACAGGACACAACATCGATCTCCCAGGAAAGCATTCAGTCACTAAACTAAACTAAACGTATTCTTCATTCACCTAAAGCCTGGTGCAGCTGATATCGTGAGCCATATTTTAATAATATTACACCACAGATGTAGATGTGTTTTTATTTGCGGTGGCGTTACAAAGAATCACACCCCCGCCTCGGCTTCTATTTCAGGCTGATTATACCTGTAAACGCTACCCCTCGTGTCCCCTAATCTAATTTTAGACGGAAAACTTTCCATTTTTAGCCCACGAATTTGTCTGAGCAGAACAACAGGAAGCACAACCAAATCAAGCACGAGAGGGTCGCGTGAGACTCTGTGCGGCCAGCTAGCGGACAGTCAGTGTATTGCAGCGTGTGATTGTGCCGCAGAGACTGCAGTGAGTGACTGACCGACCGCGCATTTCAGCTCGTCTGTGATGATGATGATGATGCACCATACAATGCCTTAAAAGTCTTGTTAGTAAGTTTTACGGTAGAGCAGGTGAGAATGGTGCATCTGATCACTTAGTAAAGTAGCAGCACGTATAACCTTTAATGTCTGGAACAGAAGGCTTTGATTTGATTATGTCATTAATGCTGAGCAATATACAGTAATGCACACTTCAGCAAACACAGAGTTTCTGCAGGTGTTATGAAGGTAAATTTAAGACTTTTTAAGACCAGGTAAAGAAAATGTACAGAAATAAACTGAAGGAAGCACAATACCTCAGAATGTTCTCTAAACGTCTAGGGAACACAATGATTTGTATTAGCAAAAGTTTGAAAATACAACTTATAACCAATCACCATAACTTTTTTCATTTTACCAAAAAAAAAAAAAAAA